ATATCCATAATTTGCCATTTCTATTCCTCTAGTCTTCACATCTTTCCTTCAATGTTACAAATCACTACTCTGTCTTCCGTTGGAATCACACAATGAGGACAACAAGTTTATTTAAAAACTTAAATGATTATCAACTAATTCCATTTATAGCCCCAATTAATGATGTTATGACTGATCCTAAAAATAGCCAGGACATTGAAGTGGTTCAACTAGAAGATTTGATAAAAGAAATCACAATTCACATTAACACAAAACTTTTATAAACTGAATTGAACTGGAGATAACAAAATCTATTAATGACAAAAAAAGATTATACTAAAACATTTTCAGTTTCCACCAACAAAGAACTGCAAGCAAAAGGGAGAAAAGATTAGATTTCGAATAGATGAAGCCATAATGCATTAAACTTGAAAACTGAGAAAAAAAAAACAGAAAAAACATAATATCTCATAACGAATGGGCTTTTCGGAGAAGTACATTTATAGAAGTACTGAAACAACATTGTACACTGAAGAAATAATCGACGTAACAAAAACATTAAAACATTCACAAAACCGAGCTAGATTATCCTAATGATTACATAATAGTATCAAACTGATAAATGTACGACCAAAAATAGTAGTTCAGTTCATTATTTCTAAACACTAGATCTGAAAGTAACTAACTACAAATTGAAATAACCTTGTTGGAGCCTGCCATAGTGACGATGGCTCGGCATCCTTTCCTAGAAGACGAAAGGTGGAGGTGAGAATCCACATTCTGAAAGAAAGACTAAGTTGAATTGGAGTTGGAGTTGTCGAGCTTGAGAAAAGACTTGCGCAGGCCGGAGGAGTGGCAGGAGAGTTGAGATCCAGCACTGGTGAGCAACGTGGACACAACTGCCATGCGTATATACTGCTGTTAGAAGCGGCTGGCACCTATCTACTTCTTTACCGAAGTAAGCCCTTGAACCTCATGATTTGATATCATTTTAACCACATATTTTTTATTAAAATAATATTACGAGCAAATCCAATATTTTTGTTTATTTTTTAGCCACATATTCTCCATTATTACACTATTTCAAAATACATTTTTTGAGAAAAATAGGGCTCAAACAACCCTGAAACAAAAACACCCAAATCACACGTGTCGACATAATTGAACAATATAAAAAATTATAACAAAATCACTCAATCATTTTCTGACATATCAACCTATCTCTTCCCTACCTATTTCTATATTTGGACAAGTAATATTATTCATTTCTCTACCCGGTGGTACCATGGTGTTCAGGCTTTTTGGTTTCAAGCCTATCCTAAATACATGATTTTTTTTTTTTTTGCGTTACGCCAATGAAGTATCCTACGCGCTGTTTAGAGGCGTGGAATCCACTATTTCCTTCTTTATAAATAAAAAATTTACAATGATAATTTCTTCGATCATTGTATATGTACATTTTGTTTTACATTTACTTACATTGCGGCACGTGTTAGCACATGATTGGACAATTTTAAAAAATACACCTTTTTGCCAACATTTTTTGAATTTTTGCACAATGTCAAAAAAAGGTGTGCACTATGAAATGCACACTTAACATAATTCTAATTCTTAAGGGTGAAGAAAAAATTTGGCAACCCATCAAATCGAACTAAAATTATAATTGAAAATTATTTATTTAGGTTTATGTGAACTAATCAATATTTCGATTTGAAATCAAACAAAATCAGTTGAAAATATTCCAATTTAAATTCTCCTATCCTACGTATATAAAAGAATGAAAGAAAGGTTGGACACATGTCGCAATTTCCTGTCGTCACCTTTTTCTTTCTTTCTTTTTTTTTCCCACCTTCACCCAACATCACCTCATCTCCATTTTCACATGCTATTTTCCTTACATACACAGCCATCACCTCATCCATTTACACACTCAAACTCAAACTCAAATCGTTCACATCTTCTCACTCTTCTTAATCAATTACCATACTCCCCTACCCACCACCGTCCTCTCACACAAAAGAAAATATATGGTGACGGAGCATCTATTATGGCGGTGATTAGGGTGGCACCGCCTTCCGGAATCCTAGCAATATCTCAGGTGGACAAGATCCCACAGCCTTTGAGAATGATAACACTCCATTCTGTTTTGTTGGTGAGATTTTTTTTTTTTAAGTTAAAATATAGTGGCGTGGAATTGGACTTTGAGTTGGAGCGTGAAAACCTAATTTGAAATTGAAAACACCATATTTAAAGTTTAATTCTGTGATTTTCCAATGAAGTTGTTTGCTTTTGCGCATGTGAATTTGGTTAACTATCCATCATCAGTTTCTTGAATATCCACTTGCATTGTATTTATTTTTGTTCTATTCTTTTAGGTATAATCTAAAATAAAAATAGATTGTTTTTATTTATTTTTTCTTTTTGTGAATTTATTTTTTTGAATTAATGAAATTTTGGAGAATTTAATAATTTAGTTTGATTTAAATTGACAGATAAGCTAGCTAATTTAGATAGATATATACAAATAGAAAAATGCAGGGGTCTTACTGACCCCTCACTATAAGGATGGCCCCACATATTATAAAAAAAAAAAAATAGGGAGTTTTACGTCGAAGCTTGCCACGTGTGTTGTTTGGCAAGAGCCTGTTTCACAGGCCCACGTACATGTAGCACAGTTAATACAAATATTAAAAACAATGAATTTAACTCATGCATGCTCCACACATGACAGAGCTACTCCGTCTAGAACTGCACGTCTGCACGGAGCTATCTTGCTTTTGTACTGCACGGAGAGCTCCGTGTATCTCTCCATGATGCGCCGAGAGTCTCTTCGCGCAGCCTAGTGAGGATATCATGCACATAAACGGCATCGTATCCCACTTCTTAGTCCTGACAATTCCACCCAACCGTGTACTCAGAAAAACAAATTGACCGCAGAATCCCATCGCGAACCTAAAAAATTGTCGGACGGCTTTTCCGGGTAAGAATCTCCTTTAATTTGTTTGTGCAGGTTTCATGAATTTAGATCTTCCTACTATTGGAACCTGATTTTGTTGTAGTTTTAATTTCAATTAGGGCATGTCGGCCAGTTCTCAAACAATAAAGCGAAACTGCTCAAAGCAGAGTTTTTTCTTCTTGATGGTCACACCTGGTTAGTCTTTTTATTTGATCTGAGAGTTTTTTGAACCCACATTTTTCAATTTTTTCGAATTTTAGGATATAATGGTGTTTTTTTGTTTGATTTCAATAAGTTTGACACAATGGGTTTATCTTTACAATTTTTTTAGTTTAATTGTGTTTATGTCATTAATATGTTTGGAGCTAATTTCCCTTTTTTTCATATTTATATAGCTAAAAACTGAATTCGCATTCATTTGATTTATTTCGAATATAGTTTTTTGTATTCAATTTGAAATAGAATAGATCTGAATCTTTATTCGCTTTACTTTTCGATTTGTGATTTGATTTGAACTCAATTCAATTGGCGTTAATGGAAGACGCAAGTCAACAGAACCTCGATGGATTCGCCTCCGTCCCATCTCCTGGTTCGTTCACATCTTGATATGCTTGTCTGTGTTTATACTTGTAATTATATTGATTGGGATTTCCTTGTTTTTTTTTTTTTTTACCAAGGAATGTTGCATTCTTATTGGAAGGTTATGCCTTTATTGTATAATTAGGATTTTGGATTTTTTAGTTGCTTCCGATCTGGGTTTTGACTTTTGAGATTAGATTCAAAAGGAGCCTTCTCTGTGGGATTTTGTACGAGACAGTTTCGGAATTGAATTTGGATGTTTTTGTCAAATCTTCATTTTTTAACTTTCATGGGAGGAATTTTGTACTTTTGGACTTGACTGTGACAATAGCTGGAAATTATTGTGCTATTTATGGAGTAGACTTTTAATTTCTCTGGGATTACTATTGGTCAAAATGAAGACAAAAATCATATAAATACAGTTCTTTCTTTCATGCAATATTATAAATCTAAGAAATATATATATATATATATATATATATATANTAAGTTTCAACGTGAAAGGCCTTGGTTCCTTTCCCCCTTTATATTATTCCATTGATGGTTTTTTCCTTCATTATGGTTTTGACCATCAGATTTGGCTAGAAAACCCCACGCCCTAATTTACATGCATTTGTTTATGCATTGTGTTAATTTGATTGGGGAACTATTATTACGTAGGTTGAATTTTTTAATCGTGTTATGTTTCTCTTTCTCGTCCCTTCACCCCATCCAGCTAAACAAAGCGAAAAGTTAGGGTATTCCAAGTTCTACACCATGGCTAAGGGTTGCTGAATTTATTTTTATGATATTCAGCATTCTTTTGATTTTTCTTGCTCTGCATTTTGACAAGCTGTTGATTGCTTTGGTGAAGCAGGTGACAGGGCTGCTGATCTGCATAACTTGGCAGATAAGGTATGCAATAAACTCATCCTTGCATTATTGAGTTTTTCTCCATCTATCTATATGTCTTGGTTAGATTAGTAATGTCTTTCATTGGTACATTCTTTTGAATATGTTGCCAGTCACTTTTCGCCGAAAGATGAAAGGTTGTTTCTGCAAATCCTTCTCCAGACACAGCCATGTCTAGGGCTCCAGAAAGAACTAAAAATCAGCCTGCAACCTCAGGAACAACTGGGGCGATTAGCACTATGTATCCTTTCAATGCTTATACTCTGCAGGACCAGGGCATTTATTATGGAGGTTTGTTCCTAAATTTATGCTAATCTCATTGCTTTATAATGGCAATATGGATCTGTAAGGTGACTTATTTTTCCTCTGTTTTTACTGTTTTGAAGATAAAAAATTGATTCTATTGCTGAGTTTTTTTAAATGAAGGAAAAAATGTGTTTAGAACGAAGGCTCTAGAATATTGCTTGGAGCTGTTCTTTGAGCATTTTAATTTTTTTTCTTTAGTCTTGATTGGTTCAAGTTAAATTTCTATTTTAAATTTTTTGGTATGTTTTCAGGTAAGGGTAAGGTGTTATACTTGAGTATTTTAAGATGTGCTTAAGTTTGGTCTCTCTTTTAAATTGTTTAAAGTTTTAATTTTGGTTGGGTTTCTGAAGAAGGGTGAAAATACATGAATGGATGGTGCTTGTCGACACCGTCTGCTACAGTTGAACGAGGGACACATGAATGCTGTAGGTTTAATTAGTGGTAATGAATTGTGTTCTGTGGTTTCTTTATATTTTGTTTTTCCTTTCCTTTCCCAGCAATGAGCAAGTATAGAAAAGAGAATAATGTACATGTAGCGTAAAACATGTCTAGAAATGCATTTGTTATTGTATTACAATGTGTCGAGTAAACCACATAAGCCAAATTCACGAATTACCTCACATTTTCTTTTAAATGAGATCTGACTCATTGTATGCGTGAGAAACATCAGCATGTTCTTTGAAGTCCAAGAGTTCATGGCATATTTAATCCTCAGCATTTCCATGTAGAATATAGAATGTAGATTTTCAGTTCTCTTTTATACTTTTTTTCCTTCTGTTCTTGCCCTTTATCTATTGCTTGTGGACTGTCTTTGACTCCTTCTGTCTATATATTCCAGTTTCCGCTGTTGTCCCAGAGCAGGTAAGTAATCTTCATATATGAATTGGGTTTTTGATTTGAGAGTCAGCTATGAGTTGTCAGTAAATTAATATACACTTCTGGAATTTTCTGGAATTTTTTTGTACTTTTTGAAAATGTGGTGATGCTATTCGTCGGAGGACTGTTGAATGGAAGAAAGTGAATTCTAATGACCTTGGAATTAGTAATTCGAAGATTTCAAGATCCATAAGAGTGGTTCTTAATGGTCTCAAAGGAAAAGATACTTACTTTGATCATTTTGTGTTTATTTATATATTTTGACTCTGTATTTTCCATAGTTTTCAATTTATATATGTTACTAATAAATAATATTAATGTGGTGATGATTATTGTCAACTAATGAAATTTATGTTGATGATATTTTGTGGAAATCTGAATTCTTTGTTAGATGTTCTTGGCTTTTGAGTTCATAGCTCATGTAAAGTGTAGACGCAAATCTTTTGTAAAAATTGTGTATATGTGGAGACGGAGACTTATTAATGGGGAAATAATGAGTGACATGTTTGGAACTGCTTTTGTTACATAATTGAGAGTTTGGTTTTGATGGAAAATGGGATGACTTGGATTTTGGTGGAAGTGGGAGTTAAGTCGTTCATTTATTTGATTTTCTCCCTCATTATCAAGGTAACATTGTCACCCATTTATATAAAAGAGCATGAACTTAAATTTTACAAGTAAAACAGTGACTTTCTAAATGAATAATTTTGTAAGGGTCAAAATTGGAGAATAGTTTGTAATCTCGAGGCATATGCCTTAGACAAGGCTTTAAAATAATTATTCTAATCTCAATGTTTTGAGAGGCTTATGATTTTTTCTTTAGATTTTATTTAGACAAAATAATGTAAGTTGTTTGTCTTTTCTTTTTCTTGTGTCGATATTCATTTTCATCGCTTGCTTTAATATAGAATCAATTTTGGGTCCATGTTAAAAATTGACCATTGCATATACAATATGTCTGCTGTCTCTGCTTACCTGTTCCAGGGCTTGAAAAATCAAAGAACTTGATTTTTCTAAAGTCCATGACATTTAAAGATAAAGACATCTTAGAGAAAATCAATAATTGCTAAAAGTTTTGAATGGAACTGCACATAATCTGTTAATATGGTAAATAGGCTTAGTACCCATTTGTACCACAGATGTTGATAACAACCTAAAGCCCTAACTTTCTGAGCCAAGTCTGTCAAGGTTCCGTGTTTTAGCCTTATTCTCAAATGCTCAACTATGTTCACTAGAATTTAAGTTAGATGTGTGTAGGGCCAAATTCCAGCAAGCACCAAGGTAAACCAGGCTTAGTTTCACCAAGAAAGTCGACACCACCAACGGGTTGAGACAACTCCAAACCACCACCACCAAGTTCCCACTTCCGGTTGCAATTAGTTGGACAAGATGAAGAACAATAATATGCCCACTAGAAAAGAACCATAAAGGTCACATAGAAGAGGAGAAACCGAAAGGAGAGTATCACAGAGAGAGGTTGGGCATTCTTCATATGGAGGCCGAGAGGAAGGCCAAGAATATAAGCCAAGCAAATAATCAAACAAGGTAAGTTAGGTTAGGATTATTTAGTAGACCAAACAAGGCTCGACTCAAAAAACAATGGGTTTCAAATTAATAAAATAGCCAACTGTGAGCAATACGATTAACAATAGGTTGCTTCTAACGATTCATAGGAATGTGGATTAGGTTGTTTCGATAATTGTGTCGATATACTAATCAATTATATGGCCAAGGTTGATTGATAATAGAACCAGGGTTACATTATAGCTCGGGGGGTCGTTTGACAACAAATTGCCTAACAATGTGTAATATGCATAATTTTCCTCCAATTTCGAAAGGATATGTTCCTTGTTTTTATCTTAAAACATTTATATAAATATCTAAACCTTATCTTCAATAAACTTGGCGTCAAGTGTATGAATCATGCTTTTTTAAATAAATCCTTGAAGTGCCTCGTGAATAGACCTTCATTACCTTTTCTCTCATTTGGTTCTTGATGTATATGTTCTTAATATTTTGTATGATCTTTTAACTTGATAGATATATTTTCCTCACATTAAAGTAAATGTAAATGTAAATTTTTATGTTGTATGAATAGGGTTCATCTATTTCATTTGATACGTTTTGTGATCGGTATTTGAGGATGCTTTCAAGTCAACACTAAGCATAATTATCCTTGGTGATATTGAAAGATACTACTATTGACTCTAGATGAATAATTTATTGAAAGACTTGGGAAAGCTCACCCCAGTAAGCTAATTCACATCACCCGAATTGTATGACGCTCAAAAGTATCATGTCCAGGATTTTGAAAGAACTCTTCAACAACTACAATCTTGGATGTCCAAGTATTGGTAAAATTTTTAACTTTTTTTTAATATATGCCTTCCCACTTACTTAGTGTACCACTTTATTAAACATCCATAATTACTATTCTAAGGCATAATTAGGTTGCAAAGGTCAAATTTTTTCTTTTCAAATTATGAACAACCTTTTGGATGTCACAAATAATCTTTTTGCCTAATTTGGCAAACACTCCACCATATGTACATTTTCAATGTTGGACCTTGCTTGAAGAAAGCTCTTTTGCCTGCCGCTCAAGAACTTTTTTGACGCAAAAACTCTTGGGTGAAAAGGATGAGTCTGACAACAAATAATCTTTTTTGATGGGTCCGTCTTCCTATCCTCTGATGAAAAGGATGAGCCTGACGACTACTAGGAAGTGCCAACTGTAACATTTACAAACTCCAACCAGCAGAGTGTTCTGAAATCAATCTTTTGCGTTGATTATAACCAACTTATGAATATCTTCTACGTTTAGAAATGAATTTCTCTAAAATTTACATTTACTTATATTTTTAACATTAACAAATTAATATGCAATGCCATTGACCCACTAGTAATAGTTAAAAATCGCTTGAAACCGAATCCAACCACTCTCTTCATTATATAAAAAAAGATGGGTTAAGTTAATCAATGGTCACCCAACTTTATATTTGGCGTCACCATAGCCACTCAATTTGATTTTGTTTCATCATGGTCACCCAACTTTATACTTAGTGTTACTGTGGTCACCTAATTAGATTTTATTTCACTATAGCCACTCAATTTCATATAACGTTTCACCATAATTATCCAATTTTATGTAACGTTTCACCATAATCAATCAATTTTTTTCACCATTATCATAATTTGGAAACTGGTAAAATGGTAACTTTTAATTATATATAAAAAATATATTTTAAAAAATATTAAAAAAAACATAATTCTAAAAAATGAAATAAAAACTTATTTAAAAAAGTTTTTAAAAAAATTACTCGGAAAAATAATATAACATAAAAAGTTATTTAAAAAAAAACGTTTCTTTAAAAAATAATAGTAAAGGCTCATTTTAAAAAAGGTTTCTGAGAAAAATAAAATAAATAAAAAATTATTTTAAAATTTAAAAAAACTTTTATTATTTTTTAAATTTAATTTGTATATATAATACAAAATTACCATTTTATCCCTTTTAAAATTCATGAAAATTTGTGAAAATAAATTGGGTGACCATGGTGAAATGTTATACGAAATTCATTGGCATGGTGAAACATTATATGAAATTGGGTGATCATGGTGAAGAAACAAAATCAAATTGGATGACCATGGTAAAACTAGGCATAAAATTTGGTGGTCATTGATACATTGGACCAAAAAAAAATAATAATAAATAAATAATAATAATAATAATAATAATAATAATAATAATAATAATAATATCTTGTTTTACTTGAGATATATCATTTATTAGTCCAATTTGTGCTTCGGCAAATTTACTTGATAGGTGCCTTTTGAATTAAGTGATGTGTTTAGATCTCAAACATTATTTTTCACTTGTTTGAAAAATATTATAGCTAAAATCATGGTTTGATATCCAAAAATTGGTTTGATTTGGTTTAGTTCGAATTTTATTTTTTTCAAATCATTTATAATTTTGAAAAATATATATATAGTTTTCTCATTTTTTTGAGTTTCCTCGTTCATCTTCTCCATCCTTTTGTCAACCATTGATGTTAGATAGCATTATTCTTTTTCATATAAATTTATAACCTAAAACAAACAAAATAAACACAAAATAATAAGAATCAATCTCACAAACTTGACAGTTATGTAAATTCAAGACCCAGAATAAGTGTAAAAATATATACTTACAAAGACCTTTTTAAATAAATTGAGTATAGGTCGATTTGAGGATTAGGCTTGAGATTCCAACAAGGTAAAGTACTTTGGTAGCTTGTAAGACGCTTGGGTGGCTGAATAGCTTTGTGGATTTTAAGAGATTATTTTTCTCTATCTCCAAAATATATGGATTAATACAATATGGATTTCTTGCTAAAAATTGGAAGAATCGGGTTTCGATCTGGTTGACGGTTAACACTCGGTGGTTGGCTTAGGATGAGGAAATACATGGTTATTTGGAATTAAAAATAAAGGTAACTCTTGGTTATTTTGATGTATATATCTTGTTCTCTTTGTCTCTGTAATTGATTTTCTTTTATGTTCTACCAATTTTTACCCCCTGAAGTTGTCTTTTGTCATATGTACGTATAAGTGTACGCAGTTTGCCGTTGCTTATGTAAATAATAAATCATAGTTTTTAAAGATGTCAGAGGGTGTATTCAATTGAGACTTTTAATGACTTTTTGATATTTAAAAAGTTCAGGGGTGTCCAATTGAGATTTTTTGAAACTCTCTAAAAGTCACAATGTATTCAATTGAGACTTCTAGAAACTTTAAAAAGTCTCTAAAAGTTACGGTGTATTTAATTAAAAATTTTTAGAAATCTCTACAAGTCTTTAAGCAAAAAGTACTCATAAAATTTTAAAATTTGTCTCTCATTAATCACGAGATTTTGGGAAACTTTCACAAAAAATTAAAAAAAAAATCGAATTTTCTTTCTTTTAACATTCTGTGGACAAGTATGATTAAAATTTATTTTTTATTGATTATATTTCATTTATCTTTTTTTATCTCTCTCTTATTATTTATCTCTATTTTCTGTGAAAAATTTTGGATTCTTGTAACTTTTTTTTTCTTTTTTCAATCATTTTTTTTTTGAAAAAAATATCTATTTTTTAATTAAATTATAAATTATAAAAGTTTATATGAAAAATTTATAATTAAATTTAAATATATTGATTTTTATTTATTTTTAAAAGTTACTATACTAATAATATTGAATCGTGTGTGAGAGTGAGAGTGTGAGTGTGAGTGTGAGTGTGAGTGTGTGTATGTATGTGTATAATTTTTTTTTATTATATGGGATGTGTATGTATGTGTATAATTTTTTTTTATTATATGGGAAGAAGAATGGGAATTGTGGGAACTAACATCCCATATGTGAGAATTTCACACCAAGTCTACGTGAATTCTATTTCAAAGAAAGTTTTCAAAAGTCTTTTGAATTCCCCGAAAGTCTATAAAAGTTTTAAAATGAAAATCCATAGAAGTCTATGAAAGACTTTTACTAATTCCATACAAATCTATAAAAGATCCATGAAATCCACAAAAGTCATTACTTAAAAAAAGTCTATCAAAGTCTTCAAAAATCCCAATTGAATACACCGTGTATTCTATAAAATACAAGGATAGACGATTTTACCTGCCTCTTTTTTGGATGATAAGAACGGGGAATCATATTAGAATTTCATTGCAATCCAGGCCACCATCCATCTTCCTTTTAACCACCAATATTTGGTTCAAATTAAATCTTTCTTCCGAGGTATCTTTTATGTACTTGGTTTTTTCTTCATGATATGTTCCCTTCCCTTGGAGAGTAGTTCAAAAATTTATTCCAAGATGTGTATTCTGTGGCTGGAGATATGTCACAGAGTATTGGCAATTATTGACGGACGAATATATTAAGAGTGGTGAGCAATTGGGACATGTTATTTTACTGGATAATTGAAACCATTTATTTCAGGGCTTTGAACGACTGAATAATGTGACTTGCCACATCGATGTGTGCATATGTCATTTTTCCAAGCAAGCAAGATTATATACACATTTGCCAAATTTTGTTTGTAAGACTGTATTTCTAAGGCATTGGATATGAGTCTTGACTGAGTGTAAGTGCAGGGGCAGCTGTGATGATAGAGGAAATGTGAACTCGATTTAGTTCACGAGGCACTGTTAGAACAATGACCCACTTCTTAGAATCTGGCTAGTAGAGCCCAGTCTTCAGAGAAATATGGATTGTTGGTTTTTGGATGATCTGATCCTCTTTGTCCAGCTGTCTTTCCCTCTGAAGTTGGTGTACTTCGAAAATTACATAATTCTTTGTGGTTCTTGTCATCTGTGGTTTGCTTTTGAATTTTAAATGTCACATATATGTGTAGGTCACTGATGTCTCTGTCTACAGAACTAGATATTTTACACTTATCACAAATTTGGTCGACAGGAATGAATAGTAATGAACACTATGAAGAAGATAAAGAAGTTAAAATCTTGTACATTGAACTCTTGTCCATAATTGCATAACAAACATGAATTATCGTGTAACTCTGGACTTGTGACTACTGTAACGAGGATGTTATTTGAGTTGAAGAGCAAGGAAATGAATTGGTTCTCTGTCGATTGATTTAACATTGAATTTATAGCACCTATATTTTATTTTGTAAAAATTGTCTTGACACCTTGTCTTTCTCATCAGAGAACCAAGAGGTCATACTGGAACAACAAGATCCCTCAATAGAGTTGTTGCAAGTTTTTAACTCTTGCATTTTGACCCTCTATAGCTTTTCGATCTGTGATTCTCTTACGTTCATGCATGTATTGTACCATTTGAAGGAGTTGCTGGGAGAATACAGTCTTTCTAAAACCATTGATCCTGAAATCAGTTATTCTTGATATTAAATGTAATAATTGACTTATTTTCCCTAACTGACCAGGGAACTACATATACTCAATCTGCGAAGAGCAAATCAAAGAAGAAAAAGTGGAAAAATAGCATGTTCGGATGGTTAACCCTACGAGCAGTAAAACAAGGTAACAGTCCTTGTAACATAACTTAAGGATCCATATTTGCGGAAGCTAGGAAGGTGAAGTAATTTCCAAAAAAGAACTGTCTTCAAAGGGCCTACCTCGCTTGTAGCACGAGGGAGAAACTTCACGTATATTTTTTTGGGTGACAGTTTTGAGAGTTGAGCAATTTAAATGCCTGATTAACTGAAAGTTAACTTCCAAAACTCAAGTTTTCGTTGGGAAATAGGAGATTTTTGTTAAATTATATGCTTATCATGTCAATTGAGTTAATTATTCTCAGTTTACTTTTGGATAATGTGAGATAAGAACTTCAATGAGGTTTTGTGAAATTTCTTATAGATAAGGGCTATCAGGTTGCTTCTGGAATTGCATCACTAGATTTTACTAGGAAAATGTACTATCGGGTCCGAAGTAATTGTCTAAATAGCAAGTTAGGTTGACTTTTAAAAAGGATCGAGTGTATTCTTAACCTTTTAATATAGTTGCATATCTAGTCTTGAATGCATTCACAACGGCCAAATCTCTTTAAATTGTAATGTGGCTATCATGAAAATATGAGTCACTTGAAGTTTATATGCACCTGCTTGAGTTAAGAAGCTAGTTTCTGCTTCATACAATTGGACATCAGAGGACCAAGTGATGACAAACAAAGATTTAAATGATTTTGTCATTGGGATTTGGGATGTTCACTTAATGCAGTGATTTGTAATGAAAGTTGGGAACGAAATTTGGGGTTCTTGAACGCCGTTCAAGGTATATTTTCGTGTTTTTACGTCCATGTTGCACACATGAATTGCTAGAGCTCTACTCTTGCGGTAATAAATGTTACGACTTAATATATACTTTATTTAAGAATAATTTGTGCAATAATGTGTATAGCATATAGTAATGACTTAACATGTGCTCATAATCAATAACTTTTGGCTGTGATAATTTTGTGGGGGCTATATTTGGAGTATTTTTTTTGGTTTTCTACGAGTTCTCGCTCGAGCGACAGGACTGTCGCTCATTTACTGCTAGCTGGCGCTCGAGTGACATAGGCATCCGAGTTTTTCGCTTTATGTCTGTTGTCACGCATATTTTTAACTATTTACTTGTAGGTTTTTGACACGTCCCCAATAAATGGTAGGCTCTTCATTTAGTTTATTAAGATTGTTGAAATTGTATTTTTATCTTCATTAGTTGTAAATTAATAAAATTACACGATCCTTCTGTCAATCTCTCTTCTTGCTTTAATCTTGCAATACTTCATATTTTGTCATATAGCCTCCCCACTTTGTAACAATCTTATTGGTGAGTCTTTGCCCAGTGAGTGTTTTCAGAAAGAAAACAGTATTGTACATTATTTTTTTTTAATTTCAATAGCGCAATCATCAAAATTAAAGGAAAAGGATGATTGTACATACGGTTACTAAGTCATACAGAATGACCCATGTGGAAGCCTAATATCCATACATATGACAAGCATGCAAAAGGGATCAACATCCGAAGTTATCACATTGAACGTTGAGTTTGTTTCACTAAGAATAGCTAAAGTGGTCTTGTCCTTCCTTTTGAGGTGGTTTAGCTTCTGCTATCGAACTCCTGGAGTATCCGAGGTCCTTAGCAGGTTTAGTTGGGATGTTTCCAAAATTGATTGATGCGATGTGCCCATTTAATAAGTGTCAAACGTCTATCGGTATAGATTTGTAGAGTGGCAAAACTTCCTGTCAAAAGTATATCAGTATAATTAATGTAGAATAGAGTTGATATGACACTAAGAGTCGACGGATCAGGCCACGTGGATCCAATCCAATGGTAACCACATCGGCCTGATCACTATAAATAGACAATTCTTGTATTGTAGAAAAGAGAACATACCATATTGTCTCTATCTTCTTCTTCCTTCACAACTTGTTTAGTCCCTATTTGGCCCCCATTACGTAGAAAAATTAATATGTGGAATAGTATTTTTTTGAAAAATGAGTGGTTGAAAAAGAAGGAAAAATTTTCGATTTACATGTAATATTATTTTATGAAAAATTGTGTAGTTGAAAATAGGAGAGAAAAAAATAAAATATAATATAATGAAAATTAATAAGGCTCAAACGGGGGCAGTAGAAATATTACTAAATAGGTCCACATGTATACAATCTCTTAACGACACATGTTGGCTATGTTCGGAGGTCAACACATACATTGGATTTGCTAACTCAATTGATCTTGTCTAGATCAAGGTTCCTGTCTAAGAAAGTTGTATTAGCATCGTATAGGTTCCCATCTTACTTAACGGGTCACTTAGTTGAATAACGATCCAAATTTTGTAAAAAAAATTAACATTTCCAATGGAGAAATATTGGTTATGTTAAATACCGCAAAAGGTCATCATTTAACTAAGGAACGAAAGATATGGTCGTGAAGGTTGATTAAATCAGTTTACCTTCTAATAAGCTTTTGGCGATATTCTTAACTCGTAAGAAAAAATTGAATGGATAAACTTTCTTTGTAGGACGGAAGCTAATGGTCCAAAAAGAGGAATAGTGGCCTTATTATAATTTTGCTCTCTTTTTTCAACCCTTCTACATGTACAAAATTATTTTTGCCAGAATACATACAGAATACTCACAATTCTGGGGTCCACACACATTTTTGACATTTTTTATACAACATGGGACTCACACACTTGTCTCTATTCTATACACAATCTGTGAAAATATAATCTGTAAACCCAAATTTTTTCCTCTCCCCCCCCCCCCCCCCCCCCAACGGGGAAAAATTTTATATCTGTATGAACCTTAAAACATGTTAATTTGATAGTTCATTACTTCTGTTATCTTTACCAGGTATTGGCAGGAGTTCAATAACTTTCAGTTTCAATTGATCTCACATCAGGTCTGGTTCTGCTATTATGGGGGCGTTTGTTTACAAAAATGAGAATAAAAAATATAACCGATATGTGCCCTACACGAGAGAGAAATTCAAATTTGGTGGCTTGATGTGATAGATAACGGTCACATTTTTTATTTTAATGAGAAAAGAATGGGAAACAAACGGAGGCTATATCGTGTACATATTCCTTCTGCCCCTTCCCTTCCCAAAGGGTACCTGAATCTCTAACCTATCATCACTGGAAAGATAGGGGAAGGGGGATTCCTACTGTTGATGCCTTGGAACCCAAAATAGTGTTGATGTTCTCTTTATGAAAATTTTGTAAATTTTACAATTCCAATATTTGGTCAACAGGAGGAGACGGATGCAGTTTGGGCCAAGATAGAAGTTTCACAAGCTCATTTAGAGCTGTTGAAACATACGAATGTGCTCAATGATGCCTTCCCTATCTGGTATGATGGAGACTTTGGAACAATAAACAACTTCCGCCTGGGGAGACTTCCTAAGATTCCGGTATGCACGAGTAATGTGCATTTTATTTGATAATATTTTCTTGATAAGCCAACATAATGTCTTCTTTGTCTGTTGCACATGTCTAATTACAGACAAGTTGAAATGTGTAGTGAAATATATATTTCTTCCATAATCTATATGATTAAAGCTTATTTCAAATCCTGCTTTCTCTTTAAACAAACACAGATTCAAGGGGGTTGAACCATTGAAGAACTTCGCTGCATTTATGTTATTGCACATTTATGAAGAATTGGTTTTAATTAAGATCCTCACTTTTTTATGCTTATTCTCAGGTTGAATGGGATGAGATAAATGCTGCATGGGGCCAAGCTTGCCTTCTCCTCCATACAATGTCTCAATATTTCAGGCCAAAGTTTCAGTATCCTTTTATAAATTTCACTTTGAAGCCAGTTAAAAAAATTTAAAAAGAAAAAAAAATCCTTTTTATCGTGCCTTGAAAAAGACCAAAGTACCTTGAAATAAAAAAAAGGACAAGAATGGACAGTGATTTACAAATTGCGACCAGCCCGTGAATTTTTTTTTTTTTTTTTTTTTTATTGCGATTGGACCGCAGTTTGCAAACCGCAATCATCCCTACAACTATCAACATCTTAAAATTTGACCCTTGCATGGTAGAGTCAGGAATTTTGTCTAGTGCAAGCAAAATTTAATCAAAGTCGTACTTTTCAATTATGGATTTAATGATATTATGACAATGCTAAAAATAACATAACGACAACACTAATAAGATAATTATCTTCTTTCTTATTCTAGGATCTATAGCAAGTTGTGCAACATCAAAATTCATTTTATTCGATATCTTCACATCAACATTTTCTACGAAATATTTTCTTTTAAAGAACTCTACATTGACACTTCACACTAAAATAAACAACAAGTGACAATTAAGTACTAATTGATAAGAAAAGAACTACTAATTTTTACAAATTGGTATAACACCATAAAATCATTACTAATTGTTTAAATAATTGACAAAAATCAAAATTTCAAGAATCGATCACAAATATTACCAATATTCAACATTCACATAATCAAATTCCTTAATATTAAACAGAAAAATCACATGATCAAGAAAATTTTTGCTGCAAATTTGAGGGACCAAAAACATGTAGGTTTTAGAAAAGAAATGAACTTTGAAAATATTTCAAAACGAGAGCAGATTTAAAGAAATTTTTTTAATTTCTTGTTGAGGGAAGAGATTCAGAAAATGTCGTCGTGCACTTGGAGTTGGGGCAAATTAGTGTATGGGTTGAACTTTAAAAAAATGAAAAACATTCCTTAAAAAAAAAATGACCTTGGGCTTGGGCCAAAAGTCCAGTGCGAGCATTTGCCTGCACTGGACTGTGCATGGCTCCGCCCATGCTTGCATCAAGTTCTTCTGTATGATTTTCGTCCCTTTTACTCCAAATGTTATATATTTATTTTGCAACTTCCAAAAGCTTTCCACATTGATCCCCTGTAACGCCCTGGAATTCTTTTTCATATTTATTATTTTATTCTTTTATAAAAATAGGCACAAGGTGTTATCAGAATCTTTCTTTTATAGTTTAAGCAGAATTTAACACTAATGTATAATTTTATGTATGTGATCGATAAATCAATAATGTGAATTCAACAACTCAAAATAAAAATTTGAATTTTATCTCGCTTAAAATACTACGAATTAAATTGCCAATTTAACATGTTGAATGACTTAAATGTTAGAGCTACTAAAATAACATGCACGGAATTAAACATAAAACTATTCTTGAAATAAAAATTGGCAATAATCCTTTCTAAAACTTTTACTTGCCAACCCCATAAGCATCAATCGGTCAATCTGCCACACGTCCACACCACCCATTCTAATTTGAAAAAAGTTATTGTAAAAGTGAGTATTAAAAAAAATACTCAGTAAGAAATACATGCATATTCTTATCAACATGACATAATCATAAAATGGCATAACATTCCGACTTTTCTTAGATATAGAGGAAACTAGTCGTAATTCCAATAGCTCAAGGAATTTCTTAAGAATTCCTGTATCCCGTAGGATTTAACATAGTCGGCCTAACAGGCTATCTCGAAGGATTTAACATATTTGACACGATTGTCCATCCCGAAGGATTTTACATTGAAATCGACCATAAGACCTTAAAGTATTTCATGCCAAGTCTATAAAAATATTAAGAAAATAAGAATTTATTACTTGCACAATGTACTCTTACCTCAATTGACACCAATATAATGTGAAAATATGAGTTGTAGGATGATATAAAACATAAATTTCTCAAACAGTAGGGTGTAAATTGTAAAAGAATGGATTTGTTAACTTTTTAAAGTAACACTCAATCACTTATATAGTATTCAATGACACAGAACGTCAGTAAGTATAATGCCTTTCAGTTTAAGAAAATATAATCATGAGGTAAGTTAATTTTTTATCATACGTTAATGGTTAATATTAAGTTTAATTACATTGATTACATTAAGTCATTTAATTCATTTCGTATTATAAATGCGCACACCTTTTGCATTTTATATTATGTTACGTGCTGACACACTTAACCGACTCTACGAGGCCCATGGCCCACCTATGCCGAACCACGTGGCATATTGGCCGAGGCCCTTAGGCCCACCAAGAGTGAGGAACCACTCAAAACAAGCCTATTATGTGGCCCAGATTCTGGAATGCCAAAGTGCTATAGCCTAAGTAGTTCATATTTTCGAGGATGTTCATACCAATGCTCATCATGTCGAAGCCCTGAAGCACCTCTTGCATCACTTCTCCCCAGAGATCCGACCTTACACAAGAATCCTCTTTAAATTATTGATGGGATACATATCATAGAGTGCCAGTGCCTTGTCTTGTCAAAATAGAGGCGGCTCTACCAACTAATAAATGTATAGCAGGCTAGGTGGTCAAATTTGATACCTACAATTTAACATGTAAATTAACGAGATGAGGCTACATGTACTCCTAACCTAAGGCCACGATCTAACTTGTAACACTATAAATATTCTCCCATATACCCCATACAAAGCTAATGCAAGATTCAATACAAGAACCAAGATTATACATTATTTACTCTCTTAATACACTTTATTCAACAACCTTTTTACCATCTTGCAATACAATACAATACGAATTCATACGCGCATTCTATGAACATCGATTGGTAATTATTGTACAATCACTATGCAAACATCTCGCCGAATTCTGAACATTCTTGTCTCGCGCTGTTGAGCCGCTCCCACGCCCTTGATATGTCCATTTGAGACCTTCCACATGTTTTAGCGTGTTGGACTAGGTTTACGTGTGCGCGGGTGGGTCCAGTATCTGTTGGCAACATTTTTTGGGTCAACAGATTGGCGCCGTCTGTGGGAAACCATACCATAACCACAAGTAACCATGTGGAAAAGCTTAAGAAGAACATTTGGGCATCCCTCTTGAAAAATGATTGGTTCTTGGAAAAGAACAAGTAGAACCCCCATAACTTGCAACAATTTGAAGTTGGAACATGAAAGAATGAGTTTAGACAAGGACGTACCCCTAGGAGGGTAAGGGAAAATGTGGAATGTCCCCATCGGTAGCTGTTCCTGAAGCTCGACATCGACCTCATCACCACCACAGAAGAGGTGGCATGCGAATGGCCGCTTAGTTGTCGAGAGAGATGGCCACCATGGCCGCAAACATGAGAGATATTGCTAACCAAAATATGGCCATGAGGGAACTTATGGCCTAAATGCAGAGCTAGGGAGGCTTCCCTATTCCTCCCTATGCACCACAAGGACATTACCAACAAGAAGAGGAAGTCTAAAGCTAATGGGCTGTATCACCAGAATACAGCTGAGGCTGAAGCCCTATGGAGAGGGAAATAGACGTTGATGTTTCCTCCAATTATGCTGCAGTTCAACCCATCAAGGCCCAGTATAATCAAGACAACTTTCCACCCGTATATGAGCCAGAGCAAAGACCTAGGAGGTCTAACAGCATATTTGACAGAATCATCCCTACAGAACCGAGGCGCAGGCAACAGTAACAGCCACGCGAACCTCGGACTAGGCCACAACCCCTACCTCTAATGACTCATCAGCCGGAGGAAAGGCATGAAAATGCCCCCCGTGCTGCCCCGCCTAGAAATAGGTACCAAAGGAGGAAAGAGGAGGCTAAGACCCAAGCTGGACCCTCTCATTAGCCACCCAGGTATGAGGCCAATGAGAACAATGACTCAAATGAGCAGTAGAGGTCATGTGACTTGCACGACGACGATGACAATCTGCCATTTTCAAGGGAGCTAAGGAGTGACCAGGTTCTGAGCCACTATATGATGTCCAAAATACCAAAGTACAACGACAGAGGCGACCTAGAGAAACATCTAAGCACTTATAAAACTCATATGAGCCTTAGAAACGCCACCCCAGCCGTGAAGTGCAGGGCTTTCCACTCAAAACTTAGTGGAGCGGCTGAAGTCTGGTATAGTAGGCGGCCACCCTGGAGCATAAGGAGTTGGCCAGAATTCAAAAACACTTTCCTAAAAAGATTTGCGGTGAGCAAAGAGGAAGAGGCCCCTATCCAGCGCCTTCATGACATGAGACAGGCGTATGGGAAATCCTCGAAGAGCTTTTTATCACGCTTTACTGATGAAATGACATATTGTGTGCAAGTCACCGATCGTGATGCTTTATCAGCACTAAGGAGAGGTCTGAATGTGAACACCCTATTTTGGAGGGATGTACAAAACCAAGATCCCACCATCTATGGTGCTTTCCTGGAGATGATGAGGCAGGAGATAGTCAATGAGGAATTGATTAAACATTGAAACTCGGCCAGCAGAGGCCTCCCACCTCAACAAAGAAAACGCGTCAGGGTACCGATCTCCCACCTGATGGACTACCAGATGAACCCACCTGGTAATGGAAATTCGGGGCAGCACTTGCCACAACCACTTTGAACGCAGTTCCAACTTTAGCATATGAAGATGTCAACCCAATAACCATCGACCCGCAAGCTAGAACTTCACAACGGGCCCCCCACAAAGGAAGAAGCCGAGGACGCGGTTTAGGGCCTAGGAGTAGGCCTAATCAGAACCCCCTCGAATATTGTACATACCACCGCTCCTATGGTTATGACACATCCGATTGTCGAAAGTATACATACCGTAACTGATGAAAACACCCTAAGGGCAGGAGAAATGAATCACCCTAGACGAACAAGCCCCCACTAGAGACGACCAACGACCTAGGCGTGAGGAGACCGCTCCCTGCCAATGGGATGTGTCTCCTCGCCGAAGGGAGCATGATGCGGAGAGACACAGGGAAGGATACAGGCATCGTAGAAACCATCACGCACAAGAGAAGGCCCCTATTCACGAGGTGGATAA